GGAGGTGAGCGGAGCAGCGTTTTCCCACAGTCTGGGGCGGTGACACATGGCGCTCACACATTCCACAGCCGGCGGCCCGCGCCAGGCCTGGCCGCGAGTCAAGGCAGCGCCGGAGCCGCTGCCGAGCAGGTTCCGACTTTGGCACCCGCCGTGCGCCCTCCCGCCTCCCACGCCGCCCGCTTAACCCTTGCACGGCTGGACACCACTGCAGAGGGCTTTGGGGTTGGTTTTGTTTTGTTTTGAGTTCCAGTGCGTGGCTCACCCGGATGCTGAATAAAAGTGGAATGAATAAATGAATGAGTGAACGAAGGAAGGAAAGAAAGGGACCTCCCCACCCCGTGGCATGCAGGCACCACGTGCCTGTGCAGTTAAGCACAATTTCCAAAGGCCTGACTCCCACTGTCTACATACACTCTTGAAAAGCCCCTGAAGGGTGGGCGGAGGGGGATAAGGTCCCTCTACTACCCTCCCCAGTTTACCATGGGAAAAAAAAAACAATTTAGAGAGAAGTGACTTGCTAGGGGTGGGACCACTCTTGCCTCTAGATTCAGGTGGGAACTGCCTGTCTTTGGCGGGGGGAGGGGTGGGCAGAGGGGTCTCCATCACATCCATCCTCCACCTAGGAGTCTATAGTGAGGGGGCCAGCCGATCTCTAGCCAAGATCCACTCCCACTAAAAGCAGTGAAACACTTGCCTTAAGTCACATAGCTATAAATGTGCTTAACCCCAGGTTTGTCCAACCACCAGCCCAGTGCTTTGTCAACTTGCTCTTAAAGTTCAGATGCAGGCACACCCCTCCCCACCCCCCATCGCACACACACGCACACAGAGCTGCCCAACCTTGACCTTCTCTGAGCAGAATCACACTGGTTCCTCAATGGATTCTCACCAAGGACTCTCAATAACTCTGACTTTGGTAGAACTGGTAGAATTTTTCAATTGCACTTTTGCTCTGCAAAATAAACTGCTTCATCCTCGGATTCACAAGCAATATGGTCTCAAACCTTACAACTTCATCAAAGGACCAAGAGATCAACTATGGAGATTTGTTAGGTCCTGGGTACATTTGAGTTAAATCACTCAATCAGCTAGCATTCACTGTGAGCCTACTATAAGCTAAACACCGGCTTCTGATGGAGATCAGAAAAAAGACTAGGGCGGAAGAGTAGGAGGAGGAGAAGATACAAAGGAGAATACAATTCAGAAGACCCCCAGACCCCAATTGGAGCTCCCAGTCAGGAAGGCTAGAAAGACCCATGAAGAAACAGTTGCATCACAGCATGATCAGAGAGGTACGAACTACTTGGGGGTACAGGGGTGAGGATGCTGCTAGTTGAAGTCCAGAAAGTATTTCCCAAAGAGGTGCCCTTTTTGTTGGGGCTTGAAAAATGAATGGTTCTCCAGACAGAAGCAATGGGGAAGTACACTCCAGGCAGAGGGAGCAAAAGAGAATATCTTAGAGCAGACACAGAAAATACAAACTGTACATTAAAATTTGATAAATTGTATGTCATCAAAATTTAAAATATCTGCTCACAAAAAAAATATACCATCAAGAAAATAAACAGGCAAACCATAGACTAGGAGAAAATATTCATAAAACAAATATCTGACAAAGGGCCTATATGTAAAATATAGAAAGAATTCCCACCACTCAATAATAAGAAGGCAAATAATCCAGTTTTTTTTAAATGACCAAAGGCTAAACAGACACTTTACAAATGACAACATACAAATGGCCACAATAAGCACATGGGAAAGCCCTCAACATCATCAGTCACCAGAAAAATGCAAATTCAAACTACAATGAGATACCACTGCACCAAAACGGCTGAAATTAAAAACTGACAGCACCAGATGTTGGACAGGATATGGAGCAATCAGAATTCTCATACATCACTGGTAGGAATGTTAAATGGTTCAGCCACTTTGAAAAGCTAATTGTTTCTTAAAATGTTAAACACACATCTACCCAGTGGTGTACTGGTAAAAGTTTAACAACTGGCTCCCCAGAAGAAAAACAAGCCTGATTTGTAGCATCTGCTAATTTCCCTGGTATAAATTCTCTCACCGTGGCTGATTTCAAGTTACCAATGACATCACTGGAAGCCAAGTTGGGAGAAGATGAGTATAATTGCCTCTCGGAGCCAGTACCAACCCACCCCAGCCCACCACCGCAACTACCCCCCGACCCAGCAATTCTGCTCATAGGTATTTACCTAAGGGAAATGCAAACATCCGTCTACAGAAAGTCCCATAAGAATGACTGTAGCAGCTTTTCTCATTATAGGCCAAAATTGGAAACTACCCAGATGCCCACCACAAGAAACTAGATAAATAAGCTACACTGTGTTCACATGATGGAATACTACTACTGATAAAAATGAATGATCTACCAGGACATGCCAAAACACAAGTGAATCTCAAAAAATCTGTGTGAAAGAGCACAAACGTGAGCCAAACACCCGGTATCATGGCATTTATAGGAAACCCTAGAAGAGTCAAAACCAACCAAGGGTGATAAAAATCAGACCGCGGTTGCCGGGGTAGACAGGGATTGACCAGGAAGGAAGGACCGCAAGCAGACTTTCTGGGGTGATGGGAATGTTCCAGGCCTTGATGTGCATTCGTCAAAACAGAACACTTCCGATTTGAGAATTTCACTCTTTATAAGAAAAAGATACTGGTAGCTCACAGAGAAAAAAATGTGACAATGAATATATGTATGTTCACGTATAACTGAAAAATTGTGCTCTACACTGGAATTGGACACAACATCGTAAAATGATTATAAATCAATAAAAAACGTAAAAAAAAAGAAAAAGAAAAAGATACTGCTGCTAAAAATCCTGGATTTCCCTTCCCTTGAATATTCAAGGTACCGTAGGGGCAGAGGACCACAGCCCAGCATGGGGGCTGCAAAACAGCTGGCTCAGCACAGTCGCCTCAGGGAGTAAATGATGTTTCTCTTATTTTCTTTTAGCAAAACTAACAAAGAAGTATTTGCTTTGCTGTGCGCTGTGGTTACTAGGTCCCCCGCCACAGGGCAGCGCGTGGGCTGGACAGCCGGGTGCACTGGGGCCGAGGCCGTCTGGTCTAGTCACCCCCACGGCGCGCCCTATCTTTCCACACTCCTCCCCTGCCCCCATTTTTGAGGAATTCGTTTAAGGAACTTGCAAAGTTACTGTGCCTCTTCATTCTCTGCACTCTCATATTTTCCTCCAGCGTTCCCTCCCTCCCCCAACCTTCCATTCCTCTTCCCCTTAAATACAATTACAGAGATGCATACTAATTGCGTAATAGTCAGAGCCCTCAGGAATCCCTGTCTCAAGAGTTCTACAGTAACTGAAGCCCCACCATCGTAAAGTGGTGACTAACTTGTCATCCAGTGTGTTGAGTTTGGAACCTAGTTCTGCCACCACTTAACTAGCTGTGTGATCATGGGAATGTTACTCAGACTCTCTGGTCTCAATTATCCTATTTGCCAAAGAAGGGGAATAATTCCTACCTCAGGAAGCTATCTTAGGGATAAAATGAGATAACTTGTGAAAGAGCCAGCATAATTGGGGGGCTTTATGTATGGAGCTGGTTTCTCTTTCCAGAGGTCACTGTAATTAATCCTTACTATAAACATTTCAATAACACCATTTTAAAGAGTTTGTGCGACTCTGGGTCATGCATGAGGTGCAAAGACAGGATTCCAACCCAGGTCCTCCAGCCTGCATCCAGACGGTGCTTCCCAGGCTGAAAAACCATCTGGCTCAGGGCACAGCAGCGGGCTCCACCCACTCAAGCTTCCACGTCGGCAATTCCAGAAAAATAGCATGAGACGGCCAGGTGCAGGAAGGTGGAAGAGCTCTGGTCTCACACACAAAAACAGTGAAATTCCTTTCACACCCGCCTACCTCCCACTCCTTCATGAGTCTCTTAGAACCCAGTCTCCTTGACTTTTCAAAGTTTTATGAACAGTTACTCCGAGAACTCTTGGAGACTGAATGTAAGGCACTTGTAAAACTTCATATAATACGAATGCAGGGTTTACTTTTGCTTTTCCATATTTTATTTGCACATCCTTTGCCATAACAAAACCTGCTAGTCCTTGTCTTCTGGCTCCCCACCCCTCCCACCTCCTCCACTTCCTTCTCATGGGCACTCTCTCTACTGTAAAAATGGCCGGTTCCACCGTCCACCGAAACGGCTGGCTACTCTCCTTGATTGCTTTGGTCCCCAAAGTTAATGTTTCTTAAGTCTCCTTTCTTACTTGACCTTCTTTCTTGACTGCTCAATGTGCCCCAAACACAGGACTTTCCTATCTCTGTCTTCACTCATTATCATCTTCCCCATACCCCATCTTCCTCACACACTCCACATCCTTCAAAATTCAGTTCAAATGCCAGCTCTTCCACGAAGCCTTCTCTAAAGTCTCCAGAAGAAAGGATCCTTCCCCTTATCTGAGCCCCCCAGCACTTTTCTAAACCTCTTTGTTATGACACTTACCTGTCTCCCATGTAGAGTGCGAATGAATGAGATGGCCAGACTGGCAGACTGGTAGACTGGTAAGCTGACCGGTGGATGGGTGGGTGGATGTCCAGATGGAGGCAAGGGTGGAAGGTCTATGAATTGTTGAATAGACAGATAACAGGCTGGCAGCATTTCCTAGAGTTACGTGACATTCTCATACCTGGGTGTCTGTATTACGTGAATGTGTTTACTTATTCAACATTTATTCAACAATGTCTATGTCTCATCTATCTATCCACAATCTATGTCTGATAGGGGAGAGGTATTGGAAATATTTCATTCAGGCTGGATTTCAAGTCCTCTGTAGTCAATATTTACAGATGACAAAGGGACAGATAAATTTTAATTTGTCCCTAACCTGAAGCCTGATGAGTTTTTACTAGCATTCAGAAGTAGATGTCAGTGTATTTCTTGTTTCTGTTCTTTGGGTCCCAGCTGAATGGCAGGTCAAC